ACTTGATCTTCTGTATCTCAAAATGAGTTTATGGTCTTCCCATTTATGGGGGCGCAATAAATATGAGTCCATGTTTTTCATACCCTGACCTCCGGTAAATTTTCATATTAACAGAGGCGATCTCCTTTTCAAAAATTAGGGGTGGTCCATGGACCCCTATCCATGTTTTGTATATGTCCCATTTTTTGAGATGTTCAAAATTTTGTAGTTTTTTTCCTACTCTATTAAATGCTATCACTAACAATGATTATGGTTATAACTACTGGGGAGTTGTCAAATGATATCATTTAGTAGAATCATTTGCCACCCATTTATGCAGAGACAGGTACTTTGTTGTTTTGGTAACTAAAGTCAGTGGCCATGTTTGGACTGACTATGTTACACTTGTTTTGTACAGTTCTCTTGCAGAGGTTAATACCTTGTCTTCAGATGATGGTCCTTTGAGATGGGTCCCTGTGATAGAAAGTGTCATACCAATTACAATTCACAGAAAGAAGGTAAAAAGGATGACTGTATGTGGCTATTTACATAGTAAAGAAGGACACTTTGGCAGTGCCTCAAATTTTAGAATCACCATAGCCTCCTTGTAGTTTGGGACTTAGTGAAACTTTGTATGATTATCGTGTAATGTATTTTACCTTGTGAATTTTCATTGAAGATGTTTATTGGATTTTGCATCAGTCAAAAGGGCTTTTTTCACTTGCTTGCTTATATTGCTATGAATTACATGCTTATTATAATAATGTTTACTTGTATGGGTGTTTGTCTTACATGTGTTGAGTAGAAGTGGTTTTGTTTTGTAGGTGGAAACAGGAGATGTGTTCCTGGTCACAGCATTGATGAACAATGAGACTGTCTTTAGTGCAGAAATAAACTTAAATGGTAAGTACGATTGTTTAATTCTGGATCAATAGAAAAAAAGTGGTAAATTTTATAGGGAAGGGACTTCCTTTTTTAATGTACAAGTAAAAAAAATCATCTCTAATTGTGAAAGTAACTGTAATCTAATTGGTAGCAGAGACAAATTTTTAGATGTGGCCCAAAATGGTACCTCAGACATTTACATCTGTTTGCCTGACAGTGCTTTTTCCATGAATTCTTTAAAGCTCAGGCAGACTTCATGAGAGTTCAAGATGAGGTGTTGTGTATAAAGGTCTTACAATTATCGTTAAGAGTGAAGCTATCTTTACCAGCCCTTTACCCTAGGCCTCTTCCTTTTGTTACTTTTTCCTTGACAACATTGCATATAGGAATTTTATTATGAGAGAAACCCAGGAGATTCAAAGTGTTTGCATAGTTAATATTAATATGCTTTCAAAATTTGTTCAGAAATTCGGCTTAAGAAGACATCTGAGTGTTTTGTTCAGTGGAGGAATCGTAAATCAAGTAAGTATTTTAAAATTATTAGCAGTTTGAAAACTGCCTTTTCAATAAGAGTGGCACCTTTCAATTGATGTTGTTTATGTAAAAATAATGATAAACTTGAGAATTTTGATAATAAATTGAAATGTACTTTCCTCTTAGAAAAACCATGTAAAAGACTGTACCATGATGTGTTATGATTACAGACCTCTTTTACTTTGTAAAATCAATCATGTTCTAATCTAGAAATGCCTTTTTTTTCATTTTACTCAATTCACAGAGAGCCATGCATGGGGACTGAACTTTGTATCAGAAGAAGAAGCTCAGAAGTTCTTAGATTTTTGCAGTGTATGTCTCATTGTTCAGAATATTTGTATAAGAGAGCATGATGAACAATGCCAATAGTTCATGTTAAATATTTCACCTTTCTATAAATATTCTTTTTATTACATTGAACATATTAAAATCAATTAGATGTAAGTAGTTGTACAGTAGATGCAAAAACCAGTGTCATTATTATTTATTGGATTTACTGTAAGAATATAGACACACCTCTTTTTGAACAATGTTTTGTGTTGCTAATAGCCTGGATGGGTGCGTTCCACATCAACCACATCATCATCAAATCCTTCACTAACCAATCAGCCAAAATCAAGTGGACCGATCAAGGTATCTTCTAGTTTCTTTTGGTTTTGTGATCATGTTTTTTCCCTATAGTTTTTTTCAGTCACAGTCAAAACCACGATCCACATTAATTCCTATCAAACTGTTCAAACAGTTCCAATGCAAAGAAAAGGTAGCTAAAAAATCATTTTCATGTTGTCACTGTCAGAAGGTACCACTTCAGTGTTTGATCCCTTTTGTGAAGCAGCTGAAGAGATGAATTAACAATCAGATTTTAAAAAGCCATCAATGAAAGTAGCAATCAAAGTCCTCTGGAATTGTTCATACTTTGTCATGAGGGCAAATGTAGCTGTAAAGGAGAACTGGTTATTGTATGCAGGTTCAGCAGTAATAGCTATTATGTTCTGAGAAAAAATCTCTTTTTGTTTTCTTTACTTGCAGTTACCTTCAAGGAAAGATAGCCAAGGGAGTTCTGATACACCATCAATCCAGGTTAATGACACTGATTTAAACAACAAATCTCCAATCAATGGTACCCTCTGCAATAATGTTGGTGACCACTACCAGTCTAACAGCACCCTTGTAGCCACAGAAACACTTACTACCATCAGTTCCCACACAACTTCACCTATACCCCGTTTACAAAGCAGTGGTGATCCTGATAGTGGATTTGGTGTGGAGGATGTTGGTAGTGATTCACTTGACTCTCGTAATGTGATGCATATTTCACCATCACATGAAAATCATCTTTCTTCACGCTTATCTGTTGCCAGTGACTCAGATTACTCAGTTAGTTCAAGGAGTAACTTATCTGATGTGGATGACTTGGAAATGAGCTACTTTAAGAGTGTTGCTGATTTGAATGCTAATGACAGTCCTGTGGTAAGTGAATGATTCTGAAAATTTGCTATAATTGAAATTTTTTGTACCCAGGGTTACATCTAGATAAAGCTTGAGGACATTAAAAATCATTGAGACATGCAAATCACTCTCCACCACTATATGATGGTACCTCTTCTGGGGGGGGGGGGGGAGGAACTCAGAGTAGGATGGCTTCATCATTCCTAATTATAAATCATTCCTTCGTCATTCCTAACCGCCTCCTGGTTAGCTCATTTGGTAGAGTGCCAGACTGTTGTGTGGGAGGTCGAGGGTTTGAGTCTTGGCCGGACCAACAGTCAGGGTCTTAAAATAATTGAGAAGAATTTGCTACCTTTCTATAACATCAAGAAATGGTTAGATATTCTAGTCTTCTTGGATAGGGACGAATAAGTGGTGGTCCTGTCTCCTGCAGGGGTTGGGGTAGGAGACATTAATTTCCCACGTGTACACGACATTACTGTGTGATGGATGTCTTCCCCTGGGGTGGGATGGGTGGGAGGGTGGACTAGTATGAATGGTTCCTATGTTTCTTTCTAGTCCTTCCCCACTGCAAAACTTAATGCAGGGAAAATGGACTAAATTAAATTTAAATTGATAATAAAACGACAATAACTGAGAACGTTGAGGAGTTAAATGCAAATTTGTGATGCTAGGCTTATATGAAATACCGACAAATTCGTTCAATCATAGTTACATTTAAACGTAGAATTTTATGACTTGCATCACTATGAAGTTAATTTAGTTATATACACTCAGTTAAAATTGTAAATTGGCCACCTTAACGAACAAAAAAGCTGACGATGCGAGCGTTAGCCTTGCTTCGCTCTGACGAAGGGCTAACGCTCGAAACGTCAGCTTTTTTATTCGTTACAGTGGCCAATTTACAATTTCAACTGAGTGTATATGACCCTAATTACCTTGTTACCCCCACCGACGCAGCACCACAGTTTCTTTAGAAAATTTTAGCCTTTATCCCTATGAAGTTAGTCATTCATAGTGTAACCATACACTTGCAGTGAATATGCTTCATTTGCATTAAATTTTATTTTCCCCCACTCCAGTATTTGAATGTATATTTACAATAACAGCATATAGTCAATAAGGAATCTAGAAGAAAAAGGTTAGGTCTTAATAACTGGTAATCAGGGCGGAGAGGAACACAATCACTGGGAATACCAATGTTGTACCCCTTAAAATTTATCATGATAGCAAATACTCTCTAAAAGAAATGACTATATATGAGAACTGCAAAGGTGAAAAACGAAAATAATTGTTGAGCTAAATCATAGTTCAAAAGTGCCTTTTTGGCTGGTCCCTCTCGAGGAATACTATTCGAGTAATATCTCCTGACAACTGATGGACAAACTCTCCACGTGGTGCGTGGTGGTATCGCCGGTTGATTTCAAGATACACTGCGGTTTTTATAATTATGTAGCTCAGATACTAATGAAATACTTAGACCGGAATACGTTTCGTTATTAACATATCAAACACGTTTTGAGTCATTCCTGGATTTTCCAGTCTAAGTCCCCATTCACACCGCAGCTTAAACATGTTTTAAAGCTGTTTTGTCAAATCCAGTTTAAAATTGTTTCTTCGCAGAAGCTGCTTAAAACGATATTTATCGACTTGAAAGTCAGCACATTTCCTCTTGAAAATTTAGTTTATCAGTTATCTTTATCTTATTTTCATTAAACCCGGTTAATCTAAACAAGTTTATGCTGGTGTGAATAGGGTTTAAGTTTATGGAAGGCGCAAACTCAATCACGGAATCTGTCGTAAGAACAAACAGCTAATAGTTATAACAATACGTGAAACGAACTATTCGTTAAGCGACATTCTTTGCTACTTTACTTTTGTTACCCTATTTTTTTATTCTCTCTGTCCTCTGAACTGCATTTCCCCCCTCGAAAAATTTAAAGACCTTTCCCCTTTTACCGTGCAGTATAACATGAACGCAGCACCTCGCCTGTTCTCTGTATTAAAGCATTCACTAATCATCTTTCTTGTCTGCCATGTTTTTCTTGCGCTTCATTTACATCTAATCCAAACGCAAATCGTTCTCCATTCTCTCTCTTTCTGCGTTTTTAAAAAACTTGGAGTACAACATCGATCTTTCTATTTATATTTTTATCACCTAGACTGCCATCCAGACAAGAATCAAATTTACAACCTCTCGCTTGTTTGGGGTTAATTCCACCCGAAATTTAAGGTTTTTGTTAAGCTAATGGAGCATTTGCTATTTTAAGAACAAGCTACAAGGCAACCTCTTTGATCTTAACAATCACAAGCATCTAGTTTCTCTAGGTCGTCGTCATATTCATTTGGTGTACAGGCGAACCATTACATAATCATGGCCAGAAATAATAAATTTAAATACATTCATTTACAATACCTCACTCACATCATTCTTACAGTGTTATAGAGTGCTGCAATTTTATCGAAATAAAGAAAAGGTAAATTCTAGTCATGGATAAGTCTAACATAAGACATTTCTCATTTCACAACATAGTTATTTGTGACACCAAGCGTTGAAGGTTTTGTTTTTGGGCTTTGGTGAGCGAGACCTAATTAAACCAATCCTATTTCCACAGCCGTCTTTCTTCTTCTGCATCGGGTAGGCAACAGTGGCGTCAATTAACCATCCATAGCTGGGTATCAAAAAAATCCAACGAATGAGTCTTTAGTTTATTTAAATGTCTCTGAAAATATCAGGAGCTATAAGATTTACAATACATTCAACTTTGAATTTAAGTTGAGAATTTAATTAAATTTTTGGCTCCTTGATCAATACCGATAACGTATCTTGTTATGGACCAAAGAGTTTTGTTGTTTTTGCTTTTGCGTATATTTAATTTTGAGTTTGGAAGTACTTGATATTTAAGTGTTTTCTCTCCTTTTTGTTTGTTTTTTTTTTCTCATCTGCGTAACAAACACCTCGAGTCATAGAGCACTTTAGATTGAGTTTCACAAACCAAAACTTAAACGATCACAACAGCCAATCATAGCAAGGGAAATATTATCTGGAGCCAATGAAAACTCATATAAGAACAAGCAAACTGCCTGAAGTGCGGGAAAACGCGGGTAACAAAGTCGTGATTGATTTTAGTTTTGAATCTGATTGGTTGAGAAACTGACGTAAGTTTTCTGGACCAATCACAGAGCGAAGTACGTCTAGCACAAAGCAACCTCGGATAAATTTCGACACTCATACACATTTAGTATTTTAAACTATCGTACATATACCAAGAGGTCAGGAAGTCTTAGGGTTCTAAGTCCTGGAGCACGGTATAGTGTACGTTGCGATCCTCATTTAGCCATATCTTCTTAGTAGGGGACCAAGAGTTAGAGCTGACGAACCTTTAAAGAGCAAAATGGATTAGAAAAAAAATTAATTAATGTAATGAAAAAGATAAATATCTACATACGCGCACTGCTCTGCACCAGCTTGCTGGGCCTTGTCTAATTGGCTGTAGGTGGCTAATTGTGCTCCGTGAAGTGTACATAGATTTTTAGCGTCGTCATAGTTCAGCCTGTATCTGTCCACTTTAACATGGAACACTCCTTTGACAGCTTTTCCCTGGATCATCTTCCTCTTATCTTAAACAGAAAATATAATATAACAAAATTAATGTAAAAATGGTACGTCTATGATGCTATCTGCACGATCAGTTCAAATGCTATCACTGAAGTCGACGATTCTGAGCTCATTACAGCTTGGATACAAATACGAGTTTCCTCTGTTTCTTTTTTTGTTTGTTTGTTTCTTTTTTAATTCTTTCTCTCCTACTCCTTTTCAAACGAACCAACACGATTAGAGTTTGAGCTCAAGTCTTGGTTAAAATAAGAAAACAAACATGCACACACACACATACGCGTGTAAAAGAATCGTGAATGGTGATGTGCTATCTGTTTTTTTAAAAATGCAGTGTCAAAGAGCTCCTAAACCCATAACAACAACAACAACAACAACAATTAATCACTTATAGAGCGCTATTTACAATGACAGATCAACAGCGCTTTACAATCAATCCTAACCCGCCCATCCCACCCCAGGGGAGGACATCCATCACACAGTAATCTCGTGCGTGGGAAATTAACGTCTCCTACCCCTAACCCTGCAGGAGACGGGACCTCCATTTATTCGTCCCTATCCGAGAAGACTAGAATATCTAACCATTTCTTGATGTTATAGAAAGGTAGCATATTCTTCTCAATTATTTTAAGACCTTGAGTGTTGATCCGGCCGGGGCTCGAACCCTCGACCTCCCGCACAACAGTCCAGCGCTCTATCCATTGAGCTAACCGGGAGGCGGTTAGCTCAATGGATAACCCATACTTAAATGAAGGCGACATTGTATGAGGTGCAATGTCTTTTGACATTCTAGTCTTCTCGGATGCACCTCATACAATCCACCTCATTGTATGAGGTGCATTGTCTTTAGACATTCTAGTCTTCTCGGATAAGGACGAATAAACCGTAGGTCCAGTCTCCTGCATCTATTAATGAGTAAATTTGGTTAGGTAGGGGACGTTAAAGAACCCACTCACGAGATTACTGTAATGTGGTCTGGCCTGTTTACTGGGAATTGGGGGGCAGGGGGCATCTTCATATACGTTTCCTTCGATTGTTTGTAAACTGCTGATGCAGTCCGGCAAAAAGTCCCCCGAAAAGTGTTTTGATTGGCATTTGATTATATTCGCATGTTAATTTGCGCAATATAAATATGAAATTATTATTATATTATTATTGTTATTATTATATCATTATTGTTATTATTATCATTATTATTATAATTATAATTATTATTATTATTATTATTATCATTATTATTATTATTATTTTGGAGAGAAGAAACTGCAGTGCTTGTGGAAAAATTGTTCAGACAATGACAAATAACGACAACAGACTCCCCCCTCATGTGACAGGCCATGTCCAAGAGCAAAGATGGCAAGACGCCAGAGCTATCTCGTACTTTGCCATCTGTCTCCCTCATAAGAACAGCAGCAAA